TTATTGAAACTTGTTGAGTGTTCTCTCTATGTGTTCCAGTGGGAGATAAGTTGTGAGTAGATCTGTTCTACTCTGTTCTAAAGCCCCCAGCTCACCCTGTATCTACCTGCAGCCACAAGTTCTCCACTACATTCAAGGTAGGTACTGTCTACCTCACTCTGGATCTTTGTTCCAACTGTGTGAACCAGCTGAATGGAACCATGCTCCGTCCTTCTTCCCTCGGACTGCTCCTGGAAAATGGTGACCTTCTATCATATATATTGTAGCATTGAAAAAAACGACACAAGGAGAGGTAACACGAATGGACTTTATTGTGTAACGTCTACCCTAAGAGTATATCTACGTGCATTTACATAGCCATGACAATTTAAACCTTATGTAAATCAATACAATCTAAAAATTATGTAAATAAATTAACCACGTTACAATATAAATATGAAAAAATAATTAGGTCAGGTGTTGATATTAAAAATAAAAAAAAAAGAATATCCTGACCAGAAGCCCATATGCTTTACAGATGGCAGAGCGCCATCTAGTGGAACAGAAATCAACTAAACGTTGATTTAACCTGTTCCCTGATATTTGGGCACGTCCACAATACATAACTAATCTGGCAAATATTTTACCAGTACAGTAGAACTTCCATGAGTGGACACTCCCGCCTAGAGGACACCTCTTTACAAAGAATAGTTTTCATTTAGAAAATTACCCGTTTTTACTATTTTGACACTCTCCAGTAAGAGGACACCTCTCCCTAAAGGACACTTCGGCTCTGCAATTAGGTGTCTTTAACAGGGAGGTTCTACTGTATATAAAAGTCAGTGTATGTATGTATGTATGTATGTTGACTATACACATCCACAATACGTAACTAATCTGACTGAAATTTTAACAGTATATAGAATTGAATCTGGAAAACTTATAGGCAATTTTCAGGCTTCTATCTCGAATATGGTTGGAGTTATTAAAAGAGATATTAACAAATTTCCCTATTTTACTTGCAGCTGGTGCCTCAATGTGGTAACTGAGAGAAGTAAAGTTGAGGAAGATGGGTGGAATCCAGCTGCGGAAGGATGGCTCATGTGGGCCCCTTCCTACAGCACGACAGGGATTGGTGTGTGGGGGAGGTGGAGTTGGACATTTCATAAGAGTGACATAAGATGTGATGACAGCGTAGGGACAAGAAATGCTCTCTGATAAAACCCGGGCGTTGCTCGGGTCATTCAGCTAGTTGAAGATAAATGTCAAACACAGGCTGACAAAAATTATAAATAACATTGGATCAAAAGCACAAGGTAACAAGACAAAATCCAAATAAATAGCGTGTGACATATTGGTAACGGCGTTGTTAACATTACCATTCAGTACTTTTGTCTGATGATTGTAACAACATTGTTACTGAAACGTTACACACTATTTATTTGGTTTTGTGTTGTAGCTTTGTGCTTTTTATTCAATGTTATTTATAATTTTTGCTGCATGTTTGAGAAATAACTGTTGATTAAATTCTTGTTTACAACTTGGTATTTCTACCCTGGACATTTTTTTAAAATCTCCACTCAACAATCATATCAGGGTATCAAGCCTGTAGAGCTTGTTGATGATGTCTGCTGGGAATGAGTAGAGCTCATCAAAGAAGATTTGACAACCATAATGATTGGGAGAAGTAGAATGTGTCTGCTTTTGTCATTAAGACTGGGAGCACTACTCAGTAGCAGGCCACTGACTTAGCTCCAATATAAATGGCCGCCTCTGATATGAGGAACGGACACCATGTACAGACTGTATCCCTGGAGCCCTTACAGGGTACTATCAGCCGGGCCAGCTGAACCCAGGTTTTTTAGTGAGCTTGTTACTGCTCCCCCTCCTCCTTTTTCATCCGGGCTTGGGACCGGTGTTGTGGCTTTGTCACCGACCTGAGGCCACTAGTTTGTGGTGATGGTCAATACAGGCGCTTCGTTTGACATCCATTTTGACAGGAGAGATGACCTTTATTTTATAGATGCTTTCTTCATGTGCAGACACGTGGTACATTTACAGTAAAAGCAGTCGTCTACTTCTATTCACCATTATTATCATGGCCTGTACCATGTGTACTAGGGATAAGCAAAAAAAAAAAAAAGAGAACAGCTCTCTACAAAGAACAATTTTCATTACTGAAAATACCAGTTTTACTAAATAGTAACTCTCTAGTTAGAGGACACCTCTCTCTAAAGGACACTTTGGCTCTGTAACTAAGTGTAGTCATTTAGAGAGAGGTAGTTCTACTGTATTTTTTCCATTTTGATAGTTTTATTAAACAATTTCTACTATCCTTACTGCAATGGGAAAATTAATGGGAGGGCCTGGCTCATCAGTGGCGAACCCTCCCAGCGGTTTTGCCAGTTTAATCTACCATACCACTGTTATATTGCATTTTTCGATCTTCCTTTTATAGTGATACTGATGCTAGACTCTTGGAATGGGTATTTTAAAATAACTATGGACATAAGCTTTGAGAAATTGTTTATTTTAAAAAAGAATCTTACGGGTCTATAATAGTTTCGAATTTTGATAACAGATGGCACGCTAATGCATCATAACATGCTTTATGTTTATTTGTGTAAAATATTTGATTATTCTTTAATTTTTCTTTATGGTTGGGCAGTCGGCAACACTGTACTTTTCTTTTGGTAATTTTGCATAAGTTTTTTTTTTGTAGACATATATATTAGCCTTGTTGTAATTGGGTAAAATAAAGGAACACAAGGTATTGTATTTCTTATTTTTAAATAGGAAACGTTACAGTTACTTTATTTTATTTTTTGCTTATCCCTAGTACACGTGGTACAGGTCATGATAATCATGGTGGGTAGAAGTAGGCGACTGGTTTTACTGTAAGTGCACCACATGTCTACACATCTGAAAAGCAGTTCGACTTTGCACTTACAAATGTGCCAGAGCCCCGTTTGTTTACTTGCACTCTCTGGTGGGGTTGGTTTTTGCAAGAATAGGGGGCCATTGGAGCATTTTTTTAAATCAAGAAAAAGTACCCAATGTGGGAATTGAACCCAGGTCGTAGCGGTTGAAAACCAACAGTTTAAACCATCCTTCCACTGACCCCCATGTTACTTTATTGTTTATATGTTTATGTGTAAAAACTCTTAAAAACACCTTCTGGAGATTTATCAACCCACTGAAGACACTGAGAACTATTTCAGAAAATAAAAATATAGCAATAGAACTCTATAATTTCTACAGATCAATTGTAAATAGATTCATACACAAAAGAGGTAGTGAGGAAAGTTTTAGAACACACAGATATGTAAATAAATCCCTTTTCAAACAAAGGTTCACGTGCACGGGGAAAGGGAGGAAAAATTACTGTGCTATTTTGTTGAAAACCAACAGTTTAAACCATCCTTCCACTGACTCCCCATGTTACTTTATTGTTTATATGTTTATGTGTAAAAACTCTTAAAAACACCTTCTGGAGATTTATCAACCCACTGAAGACACTGAGAACTATTTCAGAAAATAAAAATATAGCAATAGAACTCTATAATTTCTACAGATCAATTTTTCTACAATCAATTCTACAATTTTCTACAGATTTCTACAATCTTTGTTGTTGTATGGAGAATCCATAGAGGGCAATGGGCCCTAATAAAAGCCTTTTTGTTGTTGTTTCTTATCCCCTTGTGTAAAGATTACTCGAATTCCATGAGTTCATGCTCTTCGAGCTGTTTTATGATAAGCAGCGGCCTCTCCCAAAGGTCCTGTTTAGTGCCTCTAATACAAGCCAAAATGTGTTCTGGAGCTGCAGGTGCCAAGCTACATTTTGGTCAAGTGAGGTAGATTTTGTTGTTATTTTCTATCTTCAATGGCTTGAGATGACCTGTTCTAAATCTTGTTAGTGTTGTTTGGTGCTGTCTGTTTCTGATGTTCAGAGCTGTTCATTGTTTAAATATAGATGGGGTGTTATTGTCCTAAACTTGAGATGTGTATCACCATTGTTGTCCAGACCACTCCTACTCCTTGGAGTCCCGTCTACGGCCCAGCTTGACTGCTGTTGGACTGAGTGTGGAGGACATGGTGGAACTTGACAGTAAGGTGAGATCTCATTGCTTCTGTGGATGTAGCATAGGACAATTATTGGTCTTCCTCTTTCTTATCTCAAAGCCATGATAATCTTGGTGGGTAGTTAGCGACTGCTTTTACTGTAAGCTCACCACATGTCTACATATGTGAAAAGCCGTTCGACTTTGCACTTAAAAATGTGCCAGAGCCCCGTTTAGTTACTTGCACTCGCTGGTGGGGTTGAACTTTTGCAAGAATCGGGGGCCATTGGAACATATTTTTAATTATAAAAAAGTGCCCAATGCGGGATTCGATCCCGGGTCGTAGAGGTCGAAAACCAACGGTTTAGACCATCCTTCTACTGACCCCTCAATGACACTTGTTTACCAAGGGGGTTGTTTTAACCCGGCTATCTTCCATCTTTCCTTGTACTCCCACAAAGGCCATTTATTCATATATTTGCATATATATTATGTCACATATTTAATGACACTATGTATTAAAGAGCACAACTATGCATTATTTCTATGAACTCACAACAGTAAAGTTACATATTTGTGATGCAGCCTGACATGGTGCCCGTTCTCCGCACTCTCACCATCTTCAGATGCAGACAGAGCTTCCAGTTTGAACCAGGTATGTCTACGGTAGAGTTATACCGGGATGGTAGATATGGAGACATTAGACATGGGGGTTATCTGTTTTTTTTTTTTTTTGCTTATCCTTAGTACACATGGTACAGGCCATGATAATCATGGTGGGTAGTTAGCGACTCCTTTTACTGTAAGTGCACCACATGTCTACACATGTGAAAAGCAGTTCGACTTTGCACTTACAAATGTGCCAGAGCCCCGTTTGGTTACTTGCACTCGCTGGTGGGGTTGAACTTTTGCAAGAATCGAGGGCCATTGGAGCATTTTTTTTTTTTAAACAGAAAAAAGTGTTTAATGCGGGAATCGAACCCGGGTCGTAGTGGTCGAAAACCACCAGCCTTCCACCGACCCCCTTGGGTTATCTGTGATAACATAAAATTAGAATTATTTCAGATTCATTATAAAGGAAGGATCACTATATCCCCAGTTCGTTTTAGCAAGGTTTTATTGTATATATAATTTAAATTAGATTTAGTGCTGTAATAGAGATAAAAAAGAGATATTTGATACCTTAAACACTACCAGCTGTGTAGTTAAACAATTTGTAACCAAAACTGTGTGTACAGAGGTGAAAGCTGCTAGCTGCCATCTTAGAATTTGTCTTCACAATGGACAGAAGGTGAGAAATCATCGCTGAACTTCTGTCTTCTGCTTGCACACCCATCTTTAACCTCTTTATAATGATAAGGTACAATTTGGATTATAGATTATAAACACAAGGTTCTTCTTCTTCCTTATCTCCACTCAATCATATTAGGATATCAAGTTGTAACCCTTGATGGTGTCTGTTTGACAACTATCATGACTGGGTGAAGTAGAATGCCTTTGTCATTAAGACTGGGAGCACTACTCAGTGGCAGGCCGACTTAGCTCCAAAAGAAATGGCCGCCTCTGACATGAGGAACAGACGCCATGTACAGCCGCTCCTAACATGGAGTACAAACGCTGCTCATCTTGTATCCCTGGAGTCCATACAGGGTACTATCAGCTGAACCCAAGTTTTTTAGTGAGCTTGTTACTGCTCCCCCTCCTCCTTTTTCATCTGGGCTTGGGTCCGGCAAAGGCGGAGTTATAAACACAAGTTAATAAGACCAAATCCAAATAAATAAATATGTGTGACGTTTCGGTAACAGCGACAAAGATGGCAACAACACTGTTACCGAAATGTCAAACACTATTTACTTATTTGAATTTGGTCTTATTACCTTGTGTTTATAACCTCTTTATACTTTAACTGACGTAGCACTTGCTAGATTTCAACCCGTTCTTAAATATCCCAACCAATTTACCAACTTCAATTCAACAGAGTATACATGGGGGTACGGTCGGTGGATGAATGGACTAAATTGTTGGTTTTTGACCGCTACGACCCAGGATTGAATCTCATATTGGGCACTTTTTTCTTATTATAAGGTTGACACCAAAAGTTCATGTTTTTCTTATTACTGGGCGAATAATATTATTACGCCAAATACATAATAATACATTTCAAAATGGACAAAAAACCTTCAATAACTGCTTGAAATGCAATAGTGCGGCTCCGGAACATATCATGCTCAGAACTGACAATAGAGGACCCCAGACCTATAACTACCATCACAAAATTGGAGAGGACTTCAGGAATTGGTTTAACCATGGACCACCACGACCACATAATAATACATAATACAAAGGCATTATACATTGTTTTGTGCTTGTCATTAATATTTAAAACACATTTACATTTTATATATTTTATTCAATTAAGATAAAAAAAAATTACATAAACATCACATTTAATTATATATCATCACAAACAATTATATATATTATGTCTACATAACATTAAGCCAACTATCTATTTTTTTGTTTTCGTCACCGGTCCAATATTTTTATTTTCATAGACTAAATTATGAGATTAATTTATAAATAAAAAATATGCAAAACAAATAAACAACTATATACATCATACATAATGGCGAATAATATTGGCATTTTAATTTTATTAAAGTGTTTACGAATTTTTGGGACAACATTGTAAAAAAAAATTCCCAATGGAACCCTAATTCTTGAAAAAGTTAAACCTCCCACCAGTAAGTTCAAGTAGCCAAATGGGGCTCTCCGGCACAATTATAAGTGTAAAAGTCAAACTGCTTTTCACATATGTAGACATGTGGTGCACTTACAATAAAAGCAGTCGCTAACTACCCACAATGATTATCATGGCCTGTACCACGTGTACTAGGGATAATTTAAAACAAAGAGTGTACAGGACAGATAAAAGGTCAAATGATACAATCTAAAATGATAAATTTATCCAGTTAGATCCCTAGAATCCCAAATTTGCAAAGACTGACCCATTTTGGACATATACTAAGAGCAAATGGCTTGGAAATTATTTTGATGTTGGTAAAAATTGAAGGAAGCGTGGAAGAACTGCAATGAGAATGGCTAGAAGAGGTCAAGAAAGTTACCAGAAGGTCATTAGATGAACTGTGAGTGATGGTCACCAACAGAGCAAATTGGAGAATATTTGTATATCATCTTGTGAGTGAAGTAGAACGCCTTTGTCATTAAGACTGGGACCACTACTCAGTGGCAGGCTGACTTAGCTCCAAAAGAAATGGCTGCCTCTGACATGAGGAACAGATGCCATGTACAGCTGCTCCTAACATGGAGTACAGACGCTGCTCATCCTGTATCCCTGGAGCCCTTGCAGGGTACTATCAGCCAGGCCAGCTAAACCCAGGTTTTTAGTGAGCTTGTTACTGCTCCCCCTCCTCCTTTTTCACCTGGCCTTGGGACTGGCAAAGGCAGAGTTTTTTTTTGTATATCATGGTTTCGGACTTTAGCCCTCATCTAATTTTATGTTATAATAAAATATATCAATAAATATAAAAAAATAAGCACATGCTAAAAGGTACAGTTTCCTTAAGTTTTGTTCATAGGTGTATTTTACAAAGTGGAGTCAATAATAAATTTTTTTGCAAAATTTGGAAGAGAAGGGTTATGGGGCTGAGAAAGCATGGGTGAAAGGTGGACACCAAAATAATTCTCACTCAGGGCCTCATTCAACTCTTGAGACAATGGCCCTGTGTCATGATATGTGGTAACAATGCTGTGGAAGAAATGTCACAAGGATTCCTTCCTTTTTGTTCTTGTTGAAACCTATCTCTAATCCTTCACTGAGTTCAATAAAATATCCTTTGTATCAATATTAAAGTGGAAATATATCTGGCTTCCAGGGATCTCAAGCTTTCGGACATGAAAGCCCTTCCACAGGAGAAAACATGCTACAGTAAATTACCCATAGGATTTATATAACTCTTGTCTTATTGGTTATTTATTGTATCTGTTTTCTCCTGTAGGGCTTTCATGTTCGAAAGCTTGAGATTTGTGAATTAAATTTTGAAAGAAACTTATCCCTGGAATAAAAAAAGGCATCCTGATTATGCAACTAAAATTTACTGATGGCTTGTGCTAGTTGTCAGAATCTGTTCACCAATATTCCTACAGATGGTACAAGCCATCAGTAAATTTTAGTTGCATAATCAGTAAATGCCTTTTTCTCAATTTATGTCACATTTTTTTAAAACAAGGTAATAAGACCAAATCCAAATAAATAAATAGTGTGTGGCGTTTAGGTAACAGCGTTGTTACCATCATAAGACAAAAGTACTGAATGAGAAATTTTACCACAGTATGTTTTAAATAGTTACTGTTATCAAGTGTGTAAACAAGCTATTTAAAACATGCTGTGGTAAAATTTCTCATTCAGTACTTTTGTCTGAAGATGATAACAATGCTGTTACCTGAAACGTCACACACTATTTATTTATTTGGATTTGGTCTTATTACCTTGTTTTATAATCTACTAGACGGGTGACCCGGGCTTCGCCCCGGGATTCACCCGTGTGCATATCTACCTGAGTGATATATATTTAGATAAGATTTTTTTAAATAATTGTTTGTTATTAGCATTAACTATTTGTTTGCATCAGCATAATTTAATCTAATCTTTGATAGAGGGCGCTGTTCGTGAGCTAAGTAGAATAATTTGAATATATAGTTTTAATAACACTGGTCAACAAGATTTTTGCACAAGAGAACCTGATTATGTTTCTAGTGTAGCTTTTCATGCTGAACTCAAAAATCTAATCAGAAATTTCCCATCACGTATGGTTTTTGCGTGACGGTCTTTTTTTAGTATTGGGATAAATACACTAAAAATTGCAAACAATGTCACGTAACTGGTTTATCAAAAAATATTTTTCTTTGTCCACAAAGAAATAGCATCTTATCTACATGTCCTGAATCCAAATATACCATAAGTTTTTTTTCTATTACACAATATTTCTGAGATACACCTACTTGAATTTGGAAATATTGTTAATATATAGGCATATATGAACGAAACATATTTATTATTGAAAAGCAGTGACAGTGGATTTTATTCTATACTTTGCTTGTGGTAGATCCCTCTTGAGTGCCCAGCAGTCGTCGGAAAGCATAGCGGGACTCCATTTACCTTGGTACCGCTTCTCCATGCTTGATATAGCTTGATGAAACCTCTCACCATGCTCATCGCTAACTGCGCCAAGATTGTCTGGAAAGAAATCTAGATGTGAATGCAGGAAATGGATCTTGAGGGACATGTTACATCCCAGTGCCTTGTAGGAAAGCAACAGATCATTAACTATGTCTCGGTAATTTTCAACCTTGACACTTCCTAAGAAGTTTTTGCAAACGTTTCTAAAGGAATTCCATGCTGCTGCTTCAACTTCATTCAAACTATTTTGAAAATTTCCATCCTGCTGCAATTCTCGAATCTGAGGTCCAACGAAAATGCCTTCTTTAATCTTCGCTTCACTTATACTAGAAATTTTTGTTTTAGGTAGGCAAATCCACTGGCATATTTCGATCCATTGCCTTGTCAAAGTTCTTCATTAATCCCAGTTTAATATGTAATGGTGGTAAGTAAATATTTTCTGAATCGATCAGGGGTAGATTTGCAATATTTTTATATCCTGGAGTAAAGATTTTACGGGTTTGCCAGATTTTTTTAATGTAATGCCTTTCCCTATCTCTGCTATCCCACTCACACAGAAAACAACAAAATTTTGTATATCCAAGCTGTAATCCACGCAAGAGAGCAACGACTTTCAAATCGCTGCATATTTTCCAACCGTATCTTTCATATTCTATCTTTTTCAAAAGCAGTTTCATGTTTTCGTAAGTCTCTTTCATGTTGGATGCATGTATTTATCCCAATACTAAAAAAAGACCGTCACGCAAAAACCATACGTGATGGGAAATTTCTGATTAGATTTTTGAGTTCAGCATGAAAAGTTACACTAGAAACACCATCAGGTTCTCTTGTGCAA